TTTCAATGCTCTGTATACTGGCAGAGTTTGTTGATGCGCAGGTCAATTGTTCCCGACCTCTTGCCAGAATAATTGTAGCAGCATTTGAGAAGCAGAGGTCAAAGCGGTTGCGCATGTGTTTCTGAAGCAAACTGAAGTAAGTTGAGATACCGGGATGTATGATCGGAAGAATCAACAAACCTTGAAATATTACTACTGCTAGAACTGCTCTAAGATCAGGAAGATGATGGACCCTTCGGGGTTGTTCCCTGCCTCATCAAGCCAGCTGCCAGATGATCTGCTCATCGAGATATTCCTCTGCCTCCCAGCCCACCCCACCTGCCTGATTCGCACGTCCCTTGTCTGCAAGCGGTGGCACTGCCTCATCAAAAACCGCCAATTCGTCAGCCGCCTTCGCACACTTCATCAGAAACTCCCTGTGCTTTGCTTCTTCAGCAACTCCACTAGCATCCCCCGTTTTATCCCCACAGGGGACCCTCCTAATTGTGTCTCAACGGCAGTCTTCTCCCTACCTGACCCCTGCTGGCAGGTCCTTGGCTGCCGCCACAGCCTTGTCCTCCTCGTTGGCTCAACTTGGACTCAGCTCCAGGTATGGAACCCCATGACTGGCAACAGGCAATATGTACCGGCCACTCCGGATGCTGATCGGCGTTTTAATCATGGTATTGTTCCTGAGAGCCAAGCTACGGTGCTTTGTGCAGCTGGCCACAAGGACAGCGGTGACTGCCACTCTTGCCCTTTTCTCGTAGTGTGGGTATTCACTTGCACACGCTACGCCTATGCCTGTAGATACTCGTCAGAGAGTAGCAGCTGGCACCAGATGGTTTCTTCACCAACACCATCTGATATTGATTCAAGGCCTAGTGTCCTTGTTGGGAACATCTTGTACTGGCCGCTGAAGGCAAAATATATCCTTGCCTTTGAGTTGGATACGCGGAAGTTATACCATATTGAGTGTCCAGAAGATACACATAGTGTGTACAGAAGGAATGTCCACATCATGAAGGCAGAGGACGGTGGGCTAGGCCTTGCTGCCTTGACGGAGTTCAACCTGCGCCTATGGGCTCGGGAGACAGGTCCGGAGGGTGTTATGGAATGGGTGCTGCGCAGGAGCATTCAGTTGGATGCATTCCTTCCACCGAATGTGTCATCGGTGCCGTTGGTAAATAATCATTCTGCCAGTGGGCGTCCGGTCAGGATATTGGGTCTCATTGAGGACGATGATATGTTTTTTATGTGGACGAGAGAGGGTGTCTTTGCAGTGGAGCTCAAGTCAATGCGTTGCAACAAAGTTTTTGATGCTCAAGTCCCTGCAACTATCTTCCCCTACATTGGCTTTTATACCACAGGTGCCCATCTCTTGACACCGTATGCTTTTGCCTTCACTTTTGTTTCAATTCTCTGTCTCATCCGTGAATACTTCTTGCTGATTCAAGGAGATGAAACTTTAGCTTGCCTCCTTTTTTATGCTTAATTAGGAAAATTGTGCGCCTACATCCTATTTCTGTGCAAATTTTCTTGCATGTGGTATTTGTAGTGTGTCAATGTAAACTTATGTCTTATTTGTTCTCTCATGCACAGCCTATCCATTTCTTGATTGATTTCTGGTTTTCTTATGATCAGGCCAAGTTGAGCATTTTTTATTTCTCCTGTGTTTGCAGGTGATGATGTGGATGGTGCGCGGTGAAAATTGTCGACCCGGATGAGATGATATCTGCATTATGTACTGAATAATTTTAGACCAACCCGATGAAGCACAAACTTGTTTGTTATATGTAAGCTGTTGTTCTTACTACCAAGAAGGAAGTGTGTGTGTGTGTGTGTGTGTGTGTGTGTGTGTGTGTGTGAGGTGCTGAAGACTATCCTTTGTTGTAGTATTAAGACTATGAGGAAACTAATTATGAATAACGAAAATTCTCTTGAGAATGGTTTAGAAATTCTGTGCTTTTGTTTTTCATGCTTGAGGTTCACGGTCGCAAAAATGGCTGGCTCTCGGCTTGATCTCCATATAAGGAGAGCAGTATAAGAAGCTAGAAACGGTCTCGGCATTCTGAGGCTGCCTTGTCCAAGGTCCTCTGCGAGTGTGACTTGCCTCCTGCACGCATAGCTTCGCGAGCTAAATGAGTTTAAATTTAAGCTCGGTACAGAAGGAAACAAGAGCACCTCATAATGTGTTGTCATATACTACTCCCTTCGTTTGGAATTACTCGTCCAAAAAATGAATGTATCTTATATATATACATATATATATATAAAAGATACATTCATTTTTTGGACGAGTAATA